CGCCGCCGCCGCCCGCCATGGGCCCCGCCGCGCTGCTGCTCTGGGCGCCGCTGCTGCGGCTCTGCGCCCCCGGCCGCGCTGACCACGCGCCCCGGCCCCGCCTGCGCCTGCCGCACCGAGGTAGGCACCGCGCGCCGCCGGCCGAGACGCGAGGAGGGAGGGGAAGGGCCTTAGCGAGGGAGGCGCGGCTCACCGGACGGCAGTGAGCTGCCCCGGAGTCAGTTTCGGGGCGCCCCACGCGGGCCAGAAGGAAGAGCCGCTCGCCGCTCCTTGCAAGCGGGCGCGTAAACGCGGTAAAAGGCGCTCGTCTGTTCTTGAACGCGAATTCGTCCTGCTGCACCGGGGGTGACCCGAGTGTGTAAATGCGTTATTCTGCAGTTCTGCCTCCTAAAGCAACATCGCTTACACGTGAGTGACCCAGTGGGCTTCGCGTCAGGACTGGCAAAAGCCTGTGAGGAGCAGGTGCGATGATCCCCTGCCAGCCAACTGCAAACGCAGCCCCGCTCCAGAGGGCGGCTAACCGAAATTCAGGGAGACCTGTGGGCAGGGTGCGTTGCCACGGGCCGCAGAGAGGTAACAGGCGGCAGCGGGGCCGCCTTCCAGTTGTGAGCTCTCGCATTATTCGCGGCACGGAAGAACAGGGGCTTGTGCTTTCTGGATGCAGGTAGAATAGCCAGCCAAACGTGGAACAGAAGGGACAGCCTAATTTTATGTGATAGCGTTAGTCTTTCTTGCCTCTTTATCGGACAATGGAAAAGGTAATGGTGACCAGAAGTGATTATTTTCAGAATAATTAAAGCGATGGATACTTCTGTGGTTTAATAAATGTCTTACGACACCATCAAGTCGGTGAGATACATTTAAGAAGCACAGTGATAAAACTGTATTTAAATGTAACACCCAGGATTAGCCTGGGTGTTTTGATCTGGGAAGACGTGCTGTATCAGGACGTGTATCAGAATCCTTATCTCTGAGAAGTATGTTCAGTCCACCAAGATGTAAAACTCGGATGCAGTGGGATATGGATAAGTCGGGCTTTCAGAAATAAATGCACTAACTCGATTGTTTTTCCTACGTAAACAAGTGGCAAAACTGCCAGCTTCTGTGAACACTGCTCAGCCGTGCGGCCAGAGCCTCTTCCTCCTGGCGCTGTGGGCAGCGGGTGCCCCGGGGTCCCCGCAGAGCTCGGCATCCAGAGTGCGGCAGAGCTGGCACAGGGGAGGCCACCAGCGGACCTCTCAGCAGGCGCCTGCTCCCGGCTCTGCTGACGCATCGCCGAGACTGACTGCCTGAGCTGTGCAGCGTGCCAGGAGAGGAGATGCTGGGGTCTGTGTGTGTGTACTGGGCCGGCCCCGCGGGGCCTCCCTCTGGCTTTCCTTAACCTTTTCTTAGCCTCGAGCAGAACAGGCTGGAGCTGCACCATGCTGTGTTTCACACTGAGACAGACACAGTCCCCTGCGAAGAGGAAGCCCATCTTGTGCAGGTCAGCCGGCAGAAGAGCGAGAGCGAGCCAGAGGTACAGCCGGCACCCTGAGACCTGCGCGCCCGTCCCTGTCCCTCAGTGACGGAGAATCCGCGTGTGAGTCAGGCACATGCGTCCCCCCAGGGCCGCTGACCCCTCTGGCCCAGGACCCAGGAGACATTCAGAGGCCTTCCAAAGCCACCACTCACATTCACGTTTATCTGGCCCTGCCTTGAATGATGTCAGAATTTTCATTACTGGGTGAAATTAGACAATTCAGATGTCAAGTGAAGGTGGACTCCTTCCCAGGGAGAAGCACCTCTGTTCCCTGCCCCAGGGCTAACCCCAGGCTCCTCAGAGGCCTCCTGGGCTCCTGCAGTCATTCTTTGCGCGGTAGCAGCTCTGCCCTGGGGGAGAAAGGCTGTGCTCCACCTTTCAGCAGCATTTGAGAACTAAAGTATCTCTGTGAGAAAAAGAAGAAAGTGCAGGTGTCATGCCCGGAATTAATTTATACAAAAATACGTTCAGAAAACTTCTAGACAATCTTCCTTTGCCTCTCTCCTCCATTTCTTGCTGCTTCCAGAAATGACATGTTCTTAAATAGAGCTGGAGAGCAAGGAGCCATTAAAATTAAGAGGAAAAATGGCAGCACAGGAAAAAGACTAGGTAGAGAGGCGGTATGAGGTCTGGAACATCTTTTAGTTCATTTCTCACAGCCCTCCACCTGCAGTTCTTTCTCCTTCTTATCAAACAGCTCACCCCATCCCAGTGTTAAAAAATACATCAACTTAGGGCAAGTGGAGGGCATAAAAAGACAAGCTGTCTCTCCATATATATATATATATATATATATATATATACACACATATATCCATATATACATATACATATATATACATATATATATATCCATCTTTAGGTAGTTTATAGGCACAAGATAAATCAAGTTTACACCTGAAATATAGCAAAGAATTAAAATGGAAAGATGCTGTCCTGCTCTGAAAGAATATTTATTCAAGATTTGCCTTGAAGCCAACTGTATCATGCAAATTGTTAAAAGTTCACGAGTAGTCACGTACTATAGCTAACTTTATCTCAGCTAAAAAGGGTAATATTGTTATGCTTAATATGAAATTATAGTATTTTGCTCCAAGAGTTTTGTTTTTTTTTAACTTGCTGGGATCCTCATGATTGACCAAAGAAAGAGAAGAAAGGAGAAGAGTCCCGTGGATTGAGCTGCTTCCTTCTGTTGGTATCTGTTCTCATCTTATCTTTCACCATTCCGAAGTAATGAGTTTCAGGGAAGGCAAAAATAATCCTCTTGATAGTGGACTTCAAAAAAATAAACACATAAGCAAAGACTTAGGTCACAGAAGAAATCCCATTGTGTGTGTCCTAAGAAGGGAGAATTGAGTCAAGGAAATTCTATCAAGGGAGTTTAGCAGATATGGTAGGAGTCCAAAGTCCCCAGTAGGAAGGATGCAGTAATACAGAGGCCAAGGAGAACGGGCCCTTACACCGAGAAAGTTCTCCCAGGGTGTTTGGTGGCAGTCCAGTGAAAGCATACACGCCCCAGAGTGGAAAGGAGCGTGTCTGCATTTGCGTATCATAACTGTGTGTGTCCAGGTTTGTCATGGCCCTGAGAACTTGGGGTTTTAAGTCAGAGATCTCCACTCCAGCTCCACTCTTCCTAGGTGATAATGCCAATTGTCAGAGCCTTGGTTTCCTCATCTTGAAGAGCAGGGAGAGTAACGGTGCTCTGTGTATTTCACTGAGTTTTTGAGTGGATCAAATGGAACCACAATGTTTATGAATGCACTTTCTAACTTAAATATTTGAGAATGTTGGAAGGAAACATGTTTGAAGAAAAAGCTAGGAATGGCATGAGGTTAGCTCAAATATCAATAAATGCTCGCATAAGGCTCATATAAAACGAAGTTGGTCTTACATAGCATAAAAATGTATGGTTTGTCTTCACAGACTGTACACTCCAAATCCTGCCACCCATACCTTTAGCCTCTAGTTAAAATACCTTAGAAGATCATGACATCATGTGGGCATTTCCTAATAGTCATGGCTAATATCTGTCACTATAAAGTACACATGTATCTGGTTATTACGCATATGCACTTTCCACCACACATCTTAGAGTTCCTTACATGTGTTAGTCAAAGATGACATGGGACTCTGGAAGAGCACTATGCTAAATAAGTATTGAACAACCTTCCTGGGGACTGTGTGATTTATTTTCTATCCACACCAAATAAAAAACTGGGCAGTGACTGAGCCAGGTTTTCCTGACAAGCATTGGTTCCTCAGCAAGTAACTAGGTATTGTCAATAGTGATGTTAGGCACACTTCCCAAGGGGTCAATAAATAAAAACTGGTCATGAGGCATGACTCATAATCATAGTAGTTACCTAAGACCCAGGAGCAAACATCAGCCTCTATGCCTAGAATCCATCAGGGAGTCAGTGAGGAGTGAGGGGTGGGTTTATTAATAAACCGTTTGTGTTTTACAAAAGTACTAAGATGCAAAGAGCTTGTTTACACAAAATATGCTTTCTGAAGAGGAAGTGTGTGTAAGGCTGTTAGTGCTAGTTTTTGAGTTTTTATATTTGCTACAAATACTGCCCATGGAGCACATCAGTGAATTGGGATAAAAGTCCCCAAATGGTTGTGTGAACTATTCAGTTCTTATCAGGATATTGCATAGTACAGGAGGAAACATTTACTCTTCAGTAAGGATATAAATGAGGAGAGAGGTCAGCGTTAGGAAAAGCTAAAGTTGGAATTTATAAATGATCTGGACCAGTTTTGAACTGGAGAATTACTTATGTGGCCACAACCATTTTTAAAACTTTGGTGAATGGAATATTCCATATGTAACATAAATCAATATCTGTTCTTGGTTAATAATATGAAACATTCTTTGACAAATGTACGTTGCCATGTTGTCATTTTGCTCTCCAGGTCAGATTTGCCAGTTAGCCCGAGGGTATTTCACAGAGAGGGCTTCTCTTTTTCCCTGGGGTGGAATCACCATTCTGCACCCACAGTCTGATGACCACATAACAATGCATCTAACCATCAAATTGGCTGCTCCTCGTGGAAACTGTTAACAATGTGTTGAGTCAGTTTAATTCAGCAAAAATATGTTCAGGAGTCACCATTGGGAGTTCACGGTAGGAGAGAGGACCCTGTTCACGCCCTTCTCCTTAACCCCGCTGTGGTTTGGTGGAGGGAGTTAGCCTGCAGCAATCCAGAAGTGGCCCTCGGGAGGCCGGCCGGCCGGTGTCTCTGTATGCACCTCCTCACCATTAGTGCTCTCTAAGTTCACTCTTGGAGACCTCAAAACAAAACAGAAAGAAACAGAGCCCTATTGCTTGTTCCACTTTCTGAATGGTACAGAGGGAAGATCTGGATTATTTTCTTAGTGTCACTAGACAGGGCCACAGTAATGTTAGCAGTTTTTAGCACAACATTTGACCTTTGGATTACTCTATAAATTATGCAAAGATAATGGTTGGTTTTCAAACATGTTTTTCATGGCACATTTTAAAGTAACATTTGAAGCCTAACAGAAACTTATGGGCCTCTTTATTTACTCCTTGGGCTTCAGCAAGCTTTATTCTCTGTGCACATCATAAGGTCAATC